CTCCTGCTGCTAAGTCGCTTTAGTTGTGTCCAACTCTGTGCGACCCCATAGACAGCAGCCTACAAGGCTCCCCCGTCCCTGGGATTCTCCAGGCAAGAACACTGGAGGGGGTTGCCATTTCCTTCTCCAGTGCATGAAAATGAAATGTGAAAGTGAAGTTGCTCAGTCGTGTACGACTCTTCAAGACCTCATGAACTGCAGCCTACCAGGCTCCTCCATCCATGGGATTTTCCAGGCAAGAGTCCTGGAGTGGGTTGCCATTGCTTTCTCCCTGTATCTATGAGTTTCCCCTATTTTGTTATATACAATAGTTTGTTTTGTTTTTTTTAGATTCCACAGTAAGTCATATAACTGGAGAAGGAAACGTCAACCCACTCCAGTATTCTCGCCTGGAGAATCCCGTGGACAGAGGAGCCCGGTGGTCTACAGTCCATGGGGTCGCAAAGAGTAGGATAGGACTGAGCGACCAACACACTAAGTGATATAATACAGTGTGTGTCCTTGTCCATCTGACTTATTTTACTTAGCCTCATGTCCTGGAAGTCTGTCCATGTTGCTGCAAATGGGGAAACTTCACTCTTTCATGGTTGTGTAGTATTCCATGGCTTCAGTCCATGTGGTCTCAAGAGTTGGGACATGTTTAGTGACTAAACCATCATTACCATCACCGTGGCTTCTTTATATTTATATATTTTTAGATGTACTGAAATATTTTGAACAAGAGCAAATTCTCATCTTCTCCCCTACTCAAAGATCCCTCCCACACTCCTCTCTACAATTTGATTTGGCCTTGAGGGTATATCCTAGTCTCCGTACAGTGTATGAGATGTCTGCCTTATATGCAGCTCATAAAACTGCATGTAAGTTCAAAACGATATCCTTAGCTTCTCGGTCTCCCTTCCTCCTATCCCTCTCAGACGCCTCCGCACCCTAGACTTGGGAACCCAGTCCTCAGTTTCCTAGCACGATAGAGTAACTAGCATTCTTTAGAATTTTTCAAAAATTGAACCCGTGTGTGTTTCTCATGGGTTCCATTTAGCATATTTGTTTGAATAAACATCTGTATATTTTTTTGTAGACTCCGCCCCCATAGTATCTTCAGGATATATCCCATTTTTGTCCATTCAAATGTTCATGGACACATCTTCATACACAAGTCTCTGTATGGATCTGAGCCCTCTTATCTCCTAGGTAGACGCTTAGGGTTGGAACTGCTGGATCTCGCTGCCTTCTGATTTTTAAGTCCTGCCAACAGTAGTTGAGAATGTCCATTGCTCCATCCTTGCCAGGACATTATAATTAGTGTGTGACACTCTCTAGTTACAGTTGTAATTTCCATTTCCTGAATGAATGAAGAGGTGGGATTGCCATTTGTCTGTTTTCTTTGGTGTCTGCCCAAGTCCTTTGTTCATTACTGAGTGAATTATTTATTTTTTTTATGAAGTTTGTAGACTTTTAATATATTCCGCATACCAGTTCCTTTTCAGAAAAAAATAAAGTGAGTTGCTCAATTGTGTCCAACTCTTTCTGACTACATGGTTATGTAGCCTTCCAGGCTCCTCTGCCCGTGGAATTTTTCAGGCAGGAAGACTTTAGTGGGTTGCCATTTCCTTCCCCAGGACATCGTACTGACCCAGGGATTGAACCCAGGTCTCCTCTGTTGGGCCGGAAGATTGTTCACTCTCTGAACCAGCAGGGAAGACCCTCTTTACAGACGGAGGTGTGCCGATATTGTTCCCCTGTCTCAGGCTTCTCTTGTGCTTTGTTAAGGATGTCCCTCAAAGATGCAATTATTTAGATCACGGCCTACTTACTTACATACTGTTCCCACTGAAGGATCCTGCTTGGTGTGTATTCTAATCAGTAACCATCTAATCTTTGCTCACAGAGTATGCACCTGTATTTTATCGGTAGAGTATTTTTTGCTTTTTGTCTTACATATAGGTCTCTGAGACTCTCTGCATTAGTTGTAAAACATGGAGCAATGAATGGCTTGAAGCTTTTTTTGAGGGGGGGGGAATATGGATTTCTAATTTGTCCTTCAACTTTTCTTTATAAGATTATTATTTTCCACTGAATCTCCTTTTAAACCTTATCCCAAAGCCATTTGTCTGTATATTCCTGTTACTTCCCCATGAACAAATGTGTTTCTGTTTTGGCTTTTTTCTCCAGTTTTAGATTTGTGTTTGGGGCAATATTAAAGATAGTTAGAACATGAAGGTCATATAAGTAGCCTTCAACAGTTGCTTGTCAGAGGTGTAAAATGTTCACAATTCAAAAGCTTGTAAAAATAGAATTTCTTGTCAACTTATAGATCATTAGAGAATTTTATATTTCTGTTGATTTTCATAAAGTGTATCTGGAATAGCAAGATGTTAGATTTGCTACATTTTGGAGCCAAAACAAATACTCATTGAGTAAATGCTGGCTGCAAAGTTCTCAACATGTGCAGTACTCAGTTGAAACGTAAGGCTTTAAATGACTGAAGTACTGTTGTTTGTGTGTGAGTCCTTATTCTCGTTTAGTTATAATTACCTGAAGATCTCTTGTGACTTAAAGGAGATGTAACGAACAGCATGGTGACTATTATTAATAGTATTGTACGTATACTTGTCAGCTGCTAAGAGCATAGTTTTTAGGTGTATGCATCACACACACACACACACAGACACACAGATACACACACACAGGCACACACATGGTAAGGAGGTGATGAGACAGATGTGTTTATTCACGTGTATCTTGTTTATAGCTTCCTGGTGGCTTAGATGGTAAATCATCTGCCTGCAGTGCAGGAGACCTGGATTCAATCCCTGGATCAAGAAGATCCCTAGAAAAGGGAATGGCAACCCATTGCAGTGTTCTTGCCTGGAGAACTCCATGCACAGAGGAGCCTGGTTGCAAGTAACATTTACTCTTTGAGTAACCCTTTCTGCTCTTTAAGTCCCTGCACACTTTAAGAGTTTGTTGACCCACACTGATTAAGCTCAATCCATTGACCATAAATCCCTCTTTTGCAGGATTTGATATATTGTCAGCTGGATAAACTTCCTTGAAAAGAATGATTAAGATAAAATTTTTTTAATGGTTCGAATGTCCTGTCCTGCCGGGTTCCTCATGTTGCTTTCATTATTCAAGCAGCAACTGTTTCACTTAGAATTTTAAAAACTTTCCTAGTGTTCTGTCTCTATGGGCACACTTCTTTTAACTTGCGGTTAGGTTCTTTTTCAGACACACGCTGGGTCTTTGCTGCTGGCTCAGCTTTTCTCTGCTTGAGGTTTGAGAGCTTCTCAGTTTGGTGGCTCACTTGTTCTGGCTTGCACACTCTAGAGCGCAGGCTCAGTAGTTGTGGTTCGTGGTTTAGTTGCCCCTCGGCACGTGGGATCTTCCTGGATCAGCGGTTCAGTGTGTGTTCCCTGCATCGGCAGGTGGCTTCTGCACCACTGGAAACCTAGGGAAATCTCTCTGCTCAGTTTTCTTTTCTTTTTTAATTCTAATTTTCATTCTAAAGGCTGGCTTCCCAGGGGTCAGACCTAAGTGAGCATAGCTTCATTGTTTCTAGGGTATTAGTAGTGATCCTCCACTCTTCCCCAGTAGCGTATTGGACACCCTCCCAAACTGGAGGGGTGTTGTCTCAGCTTGCAATGTCATATATTTTAGCCTTTTTATACAGTTCTTGGAGTTCTCATGACAAGAATAATGGAGTGGTTTCCCACTCCTTCCTCCAGTGGATCACATTCTGGCAAGACTCTCCACTATGCTCATGTATGCATGGCCCTACATGAAATGGCTCATAGCTTCACTGAGTTATGCAAGCCCCCTCACCACCAAGGCAGTGATTCAAGAAGGGGGGGAATCGCTTATTCTTCATCCACTACTGGTCCGTTCTCTTAGAACAATTCAAGTGATCAGGCTCCAATGTCTTGCTCTTGGAGTCCTTCAGATGCGTGTAACTGACATTCAAAGTGTGTGCAGTTCACAGTGAGCCCTGGGTGAGCAGGGCTCTGTTCTGCCTTTCCTGTCACTCCTGCAGCATTTCAGGTGCACACAGCCTTCCCCATCCCCGGGAGTCTACCCAAGGTCTCCAAAGTATTCTAGGACTTCCTCGTCTTTCCCATCTCCCTTAGCCACTTTTCTAGGTCCCTTGTCTGGTCCAGGGGCCTGACCATTGTGGGTATCCACAGTGCCCCTTTTTTCCCATCAGTAGGCACCAATGAATGACTGTTATTTTCAAACACCCCTTGTGAGGGACATTTCTACAGAGCTGCAGATGACTCTGTACCTGCTCAGCAGAAAGGCCACTGCTTTCAGGGCTGGGGCTGGGCAATAGCAGCCCTGAGTCAGACACCAGAGGCCTGGTACGCTGTCACGACCGTGCGTGCTCTTTCTTGAGTCAGTTCTGTTCATTTTGTTGTATGTGTCTGTGTGCTCACTTGAGAAATCAGGTCTGACTCTTTGCCACCTCATGGACTGTATAGCTCACCAGACTCTTCTGTTCATGGGATTCTTCAGAAAAGAGGCCTGGACTGGGTTTCCAATTCCTCTTCCAGGACATCTTCTTGACCCAGGGATCAAAACTGCATCTCTTGTATCTCCTGCTTTGTAGGTGTTTTTTTTTTTTTTTTGACCAGTGCATCCGTGGAAGCCCATGTAAGACTGCATTCTGCAAAATCCTTACCACGCCCTGCAACCCCACAGCAGATGAATCCTGCTTTACCCCATAATTGAATGAATTTTAGCTGCTACTTAGGACAGCTCCATTCTATTTGAAGTTGTCTGACTAACAAATCCCATCTCTCTTGTGACATCTGGTGGGCACTTTATACGACCCTATAAAACTATCACCTGTGGTTTATTCCTTCTTTTCGACAAGATCCTTGCAGGATTCATACCATGCATCCTAAACAGAGTTCTCCTACTTTTTTGTCACCAGATTTTCTGAACAGTTGAATTTACATGTCTAATGTATTTGCAAATATAGCACGTTTGTTCACTACACATACATGCATTAATCAATTTATTGATCAGTTTAGATTCCAGTAACATCAGCAAGGGCAGAGGAGGTTCATAGGGAAAGCCATGTGTCCAGGATCATGACTTCCTGTGAGAGAAGAAATGAGGATTTCAAGGAAAATATCTTTTATCTTCATCTGGCTGATTGTAACACATTAGTGCTGTGATGCTACAAGTATTCTTTTTCGTTCAGTTCTATAAAGAGAAAAAAAGTGTAAAACGTAGTTGAGCTGGTTAGAATTAACATAATGTTGGTCAGAGAATGAGACAGAAAATAGATGCAATTGCGGTTGAAAGCAGTGGAGAGATTTCCCTGCAAGACCCAATTTGCAGAAATCCCCTGTCTGTGTGTGTTCATAGGGGGTTGCATAGAACTACCACCCAATGAAAGTATTTGTGAGCAGTCGTGGATCAGCTGGTATGTTGAGAGTTGCTGAGTTGCATCTCCAGAGCTCCCTGGTGTAGGAGATGACTGTGTAACCTGTTCCTCCTACTTGTCCTATGAATCTTATTTTTCATCATGAAGGTGTTGTGGCTGTAAGATCATTCATTCGCATTGGTATTCACCAGGGATCATCGTATTTCACAGCTCAGGGCTTCACACATTCTCCTCTTTGGTCCTCAAAGCAACTCACTGTGGAAATTAGACCAGTGTGATTGTTTAGATATTTAAATCCTAACACATATGGAATCCCGAGCAATGACCACATGGCCAGGTGAAGAGCTTTGTTTTCCTATTTCTTTTTAAAATTAATTTTTGTTGAAATGTAGTTGATGTTCAATGTTGTGTTAGTGTCAAGTGTATAGCAACATGAAGGTTTGTGTATATGTTGTTTAGATGCCACTTCCTGTCCCAACTTTTGTGTTCCTATGGACTTTAGCCTGCCAGACTCCTGTGTCTGTGGGATTTCCCAGGCAAGAATACTGGAGTGGGTTGCCATTTCCACCTCCTGGGGATCTTCCCAACCCAGGGATCAAACCCTGATTTCCTGCATTGGCAGGTGGGTTCATTACCTCTTAGCCACCAGGAAGACCTCAGTTAGACATGCATGTATATACAAGCCAGGAGTGTGTATCTCTTAATCCAAAACTCCCCCTATAGCCCACTCCCTGTGTTCTTTTTAGGAACCATCAAGTATTTTTGGACTGTGAGCCTGTTTCTATTTTGTAAATAGTCCATTTGTGCCATATTTTTTCATTTCACATGGAAGTGATATCAAACTTGCCCTTCTCTTTCTTACTTCCCTTAGCATCATCATCTCTAGATCTGCCCATGTTCCTGCAAATGTCATTATTTCATTCTTTTACATAGTTGAGTAATATAGTCCCTTGTGTATATATGCCATGATTAAAGTGGTATGCCCCAGGAAAATGTCTTCACCTTAGAAATAAAATTCAGTGTTCTATATGTGATTATTCTACTCACCCAGAAGAGGCTGTCACATATTACTGAGGACAGTCGTCTGTGAAAGAGAATGAAAAAGTGGAAAAATAATCATTGATATGCCTCTGTTTCAAAGGATGATTTCATGACAGCCTTTGAATAAGATGACTATGCAGATAGGAAATCTGAATCAAGTATCCTCATGATGTGGTTTCATTTCGGATCCCTGTTGTGCTCTTGGCTTTACCTGTTTCAGTGAGATCTTCTGTATTTTCAGTTGGAATCCCCCTTTCTTTGTTCAGTTCCTCATACTGCTGAATTTCTTCTTGAGTGACACCATCTCCTTTGGCTGGGTTTAATAACAAAGAGGGCAGAAGAGGTGTGCGTTAGAGTCATTGGTAGCTTATAGAGTCTCCCCAGCTCCTATGTGTAATGTCCAGTCAGTCTCATCAACACCATTGCCCTCTTCCATGCCTTAAAGCCCGCTCACCAGAAAATTTTCTACAGAGGTGCCTGAGTGTTCACATCACCTCTCCAGATGTTCAGGGGATAGAGTCCACATAGTTAACATTTTATCTCATTCAGGCTCCACCAAAGCTTCCAGAGACGCTCCACAGACCCCCATGGAGGATATAATATCAGAATTGATAAATAGCTGTGTTACATGCACCTTGTGGTTGGCTGGTTATGAGAAAGATTACATGACTGAACAGGCTGCTTCTGAAGGATTCTATATGATCCGGGGATGATTATAGGGGGTTGGATTCAGGTTTCAGGGATTCAGTTAATGATTGTGGCAAAAAAAGAAAGCATTTTTATTCAAGAGGAATCAGTCATGGCCAGGACCTACGAGTGTCTGAACTCAAAGTTCCTTCCTTGGTTCACTTTGGTGTCCAAACCCAGTGACTCCAATATGTGATATTTATCAAGAAACCCACGTAGCATCCTGGAATATGTCATTGTAACTCCTGGGTAAGTGCATCTAATTTTTTAAAAGTCATCCAATAGAATCTCCAGTGGATGTATTTCTCCAGTTTTGTAGTGGACAACCTTTCCACAACCCTGGATCATGGCACATGTAGTCTGAATTCTCCCATATGATCTCAAGTCTACTCTAGTGCGCTTAATAAAATATAAGTTGGCCATGTACTTCTGTCCTTAAATGAGATAACGATAATATGAACACTGTTCATTTGCTCAGAATAAGCTTCAGTAACGTACCGAGAAGTTGAGTGACTTTTGTAGTCTTCACACCATCCACGTTTTCACCGTAGATTGCTAATGTGTTGTCTGACATAGGAATCAGTTTGAAAAAATTTGCACCCATAACTGTGATAGGAAAAAAGAAATTCAAATCTCAATGCAATTAATTTCTCTTCATTTGTACATGTCATGTTCTTCACATGCTGTCATCAGTCTTCATTCCGATGGTGGTCTCTATTTTCCTGGCATTTCTAGTGGTCTGTGGTTAGAACCTGTTGAAAGAGCTAGTGAACTTGGAAAACTTTTTCCACACACCCCTCATCTTAAGACAGTAAAGACTTCCAGTCTTCTAGACCAAACAGTCTGTGAACAATAGCAAAGTTGGTTTTTGCAACTAGAGTAGGTGTTGGTCCTCAATCATCTCACATGAGCTCACAAGAGCTAATTGTCAAAGTTTCAGGAGTGTTTTGACCAAATTCATAAGTACAGTCATGATTACAAAGATATTCTTTAAATTTCAGGAAATCATGTGAAAATAAGGCTTAATAGATTAACCAAAGTTACCTTCTGGAACAGAGGTAATCAGAGAGGTAGAAATGAAGGTATTGCCAGATGTTAGAGATATATACTCTGAAATGTTTCCTAATTATGTCCTGTGTCCANATGTCATCTTCTGACATCCTGGTTGGCAGGGGACGTTTTGTTTACAATCCTTGGATTTTATAGAGAGATTAATTTTGAGGAAAGTTTAGGTCGACCTGGACATTTGCCTTCAGATGAAATGAGAAATCAGAGAACATATGAGGTATTTCCAGGACACGGATACTTACAATCATTTATATTGTCAGATTCCAAAATGGGAACAATAGTCCAAGACTCAACACCTAAGTCCTGTGCTATCTATTTAGCACTGAATGGTCAGTTGAAGCTTATATTGTAAAATGAAAGATGGTATTGTCTGGTTTCAACGATTAATGTGTGGATTTTTTACTGGGAATTTTTGTCACAGCACCCTCAGACGGCTTCCTATTTTTATTTATTTTGAAATGGAAGTATAATTGATGTACAATTTTATAGAAGTTAGCGATGTACAGTATAGTGACTTGTAATTTTTATGTACTCCATTGATAGGTGTCAAATGTAGGCTTTATTCCCTATGCTGTACCATATATCTTTACCCCAGTCATTTTATACATAGCAGTTTCTACCTCTTACTCCCTCCTCTTGTCCAACTCCTACCCCCCTATCACACTACTAACCAGTACTTTGTTTTCTGTATCTGTGGGTTTGCTGCTTTTTTTGTTATATTCACTAGTTTGTTTTATATTTTAGATTTTCCATATAAGTGATATCATACAGCATTTGTCTTTGTTCACCTTTATTTGCTTCACCTAGTGATATCATACAGCATTTGTCTTTGTTCACCTTTATTTGCTTCACCTAATCCTGCCATCCATGTTGCTGCAAAGGGCAACATTTCCACTTTTTCATGATTTGCATAGTTCCTTCAAGTCCTGCCAGCAGTAGATGAGAATTTCCTCTGCTTCATCCTTGCCCGGAGTCTGTCTCATCCGTCTTGTTATCCTCACAGACTATACCGAGAGTGTGATGGCATCCAGTTATTTACAGAGACTATACCAAGAGTGTGATGGCATCCAGGAAATTGCCATTTCCTGAACGAATGAAGAAATAGGGTTGCCACTTGTCTATTTTCTTTGGTGTCTCTCCAAGTCATTTCTTCATTATAGAGTGAATAATTTCTTAAATTTTTTATGAAGTTGGAAGGCTTTTTATATATTCTGCACATCAGTCCATTTTCAGACTAAAGGAATATAGATCGCTCAATGGTGTCTGACTTTTTGCAACTCCATGGGCTGTAGCCCTCCATGCTCCTTTGCCCTTGGAATTTTCTGGGCAGGAATACTTAGGTGAATTCCCGTCCTTCTCCAGGGGGTCTTACAAAGGCAGGGGTTGAAGCCGGGTCTCGGAGTCCTGCCCTGCAGGCAGATTGCTGACTGTCTGAAGCCCCTCTTTTCAGATAGACATGTGCCAATATTTTCCCCCGATTGCTGGCTTCTGTTGTGCTTCCTTAAGGTTGTCCTTCCAAGGTGTAAATATTTGGATAGAGGCCTGGTTACTTTTCCCACTGAAGGATCCTTCTGGGTGTATATTCTAATGAGTAAGTGCCTGATCTTTGGTCACGGAGTGTCCACCTGTGTTTTATGGCCAGAGTCTTTCTTGCATTCAGTCCTACATATAGGTCTGCAAGTCTCACTGTATTAGTTTTAAAACATGGAGCAACGAATGAAATGAATTTCTTCTTTTTGTTGGCATATGGATTTCTAATTTCTCAGCAACTTATCTCTATATGATTATTGTTTTCCACTAAATTTCATTTGTAACTACATCCAGCATCCGTTTGTCTGTGTATTCTTGTTCCTGCCCCACAAACACATTGTTGTTTTGCCTTTTCCTCACTCCCTCTTTCAGATTGGTGTTTGAGGCAGTATTATTCACTGCTGGATTGTGAGGGCCATATGACGAACATTCAACCATTTTTGTCCAAATGTAAGGTGCTAACAGTTCAAAAGCTCCTGAAAACAGAATTTCTCATCCTTTTATATATCATCAGAGTATTTTATATTCCTGCTGACTTTTCCTAAAGCGTATCTGATAGTCCAAGTTGTCAGTTTTTCTACATTTTGGAGCCAAATCAAATACTAGTGGAGTACATGCTGGCTGCAGATTTCTCCACATCAATAGATATTCCGTTTGGAACACAAGGCTTCAATTGATGGAAGTATTGTGTGTGTTTGTGTGTGTGTGTTCTTGTTTAGTGTGTGTGTGTGTCTTCTTCTTTAGACCTGATGATCTCTTGTGATTTAAAGACATATAATGAACGGCATGGTGACTATTATTCACAGTCTTGTACATATGCTTGTCAGCTTCTTGAGCATGGCTTTTATGTGATTGTGACTCATACACGCACCTACAGACACACACATTGTATGTAGGTGAGGAGACAGATGTGTTTATTCATGTGTATCTTATTTAGGGCTTCCGTGGTGGCTCAGGTTGTAAAGAATCTGCATGCTATGCGGGAGATCTGGGTTTGATCCCTGCATTGTGAGGATCCCTTTGAGAAAGGCATGGGAAGAATCTCATTCTTTTTTCCTGGAGAATTATATGGACAGAGGAGCCTGGTTGCAAGAGACATTACTCTTTTTTAAAAAATGGATTCATTTGTTTTAATTGGAGGCTAATGACTTTACAATATTGTTGTGGTTGTTGCCATACATTGACTTGAATCAGCCCCAGGTGTACCTGTGTTCCCCATCCTGAAGCCCTTTCCCACCTCCCTCCCCATCCCATCGCCCAGGGTCATCCCAGTGCACCAGCCCTGAGCAGCCTTTCTCATGCATCGAACCTGGACTGGTGATCTGTTTCACATATCGTCATGTGCATGTTTCAATGCAATTCACTCAGATCATCCCACCCTTGCCTTCTCCCACAGAGTCCAACAATCTGTTGTTTACATCTGTGTCTCTTTGGCTGTCTCACACATAGGGTCATTGTTACCATCTTTCTACATTTGAAATATTTGCATTAGTACACTCTATTGGTGTTTTTCTTTCTGACTTACTTCACTCTGTATAATAGTCTCCAGTTTCATCTACCTCATTAGAAGTGATTCGAATGGACTTTTTTGAATAGCTGAGTAATATTCCAGTGTGTGTATGTGCCACAGCTTTTTCTACTTTTTCCTGCCAATGGGCATCTTGTTGTTGCTGTTGTTTTTCTAAGTTTTATTTATTTATTTATTTTCACTTTACAATATTGTATTGGTTGCCCTACATTGACATGAAATCAGTTATGGATGTACATGTGTTCCCCATCCTGAACGCCCCTCCCACACCCATCCCCATCCCATCCCTCTGGGCCATCTCAGCGCACCAGCCCAAAGCAACCTGTATCATGCAAGCATTTGTCTGCCAATGGACATCTAAGTTGCTTCCATTTCTGGCTATTGTAAACAGTGCTGCAGTGATCACTGGGGTACATGTGTCTCTTTCAGCTCTGGTTTCCCTGGTGTGTATGTCCAGCAGTGAGATTCCTGGGTTGTATGGCAGTTCTATTTCCAGGTTTTTAAGAAATCTCCACACTGTTTTCCATAGTGGCTGTACTAGTTTGCATTCCCACCAACAGCATAAGAGGGTTCCCTTTTCTCCACACCCTCTCCAGCATTTATTGTTTGTTGACTTTTTGATAGCAGCCATCCTGACTGGCGTATAATGGTACCTCATTGTGGTTTTGATTTGCATTTCTCTGATAATGAGTGATGTTGAGCATCTTTTCATGTGTTTGTTAGCCATCTGTATG